AATAGATCTCCCAGATTATGCAAGAATGTTATATATTGTTTCCATACAATCAATAATTCTAATTCGGATTTCAGTCTGGAAATCTGCTGTGACCACAGATTTTGCAATCTATTCTGCACTCTTTTAAAGAAAAGGAATGGCAATATTTTGTGGCACTATATTAAAATGTTTCTGTTTCATGAAATTTGCCCTCATATAGTACACAAGAGATTTCTATTAATTAGAATAAAGATAAATGAAGTGAAAAAGGCTATGAAGGACATTATTCATGTTTAACAAAATAAAAATCAGTTGTTCTGATTTCATCTGTATTAACATTTTATGAGTTTGGGGGTTTGATTTGGTTTTTCTGTTCTGTTTTGTTTTGGTTTTTTCTTTAAAAACCCCAACAGTTCATAAGTCTGCCTTGTTTAAAATTGGGTGGTCTGGGAGAGGCCCAGCACAGATCAAAGAGTTCAGCACCAGCATCGTGTTTGAGAGACTCAGTAAGATGGAGAGAGTACTGCCACAGTGTCTGATGCCCTGGGTATGTGGCAGATGCAGTTTGTGCCACTTTGAACACTCTTCTGGATTAATTACTGTGTTAAATCAGAAACATATATGATGGAACCAATTAGCCTAATTGCATCTTGTCAACAACCACGGGTTAGCTCGAACATCTGTAGGACACTATGATATTGTCACTTTAAAACACAAGGCAGCAGTGGCTACGTGTCTTAGATAAAATCCTGGCCTGCTGAAGCAATGAACTGTGCCTTTTCACATACCAAATTCCAGACTTATCAGGCACAGAGCCATAAGAGATAAGGAAAAAATTGGGAGTTTTGCTGTTATTTTCTGAACACTTAGAGCTTTGCTTTCACAAGATGGGCACAGTGCTGCTCATGGAGGGCTGCAAGGGCCATGCTGAGCTGCAATTGCATTTCTTGCAAAGCACGGAGCTGCATGGGCCCTTCCCACAGCAGGACACAAGAAACCCTCAGGACACCTCAGATATTACCAAGCAAAGAGGTCCAACCTTCCTCACCCAGGTCAATTGCTTAGTGAGGAAAACTAGACAGCTTATCATCACCATGGCCACTCCAGAGCCAGGTTTTTATATGCCTAATCCCTCCTGCTCTCCACTTCAGACTGCATGCAACACATTTAATGAAGCTTGAAGCTGGATCTGTCCTATAAATAAGATGTATGGAGAACTGGAAGGACAGAACCACAATGTATTTGCAGTACAAGATTTTTCTCTTGCTGTATTTTTACCCAGTGATACCCTGGACACAATAAAATACAAGGACAGGGTCTTTATCTAGAGCAAACACAAAGTCAACTCTACCAAGTACAATCTAAACACAAAAGTCTCTTTTCCTGAGCATCAAGAAAGCATTTGAAAGAATGTCAAACAGATGCCCCAAGAAAATTACTTCCCCTGCCTCTTTTCTCATCCCAAAGCCTTATTATTACTTTTTGATTGATTTTTTTTGGCTCTTACACACTCTCATGCTGATCTTCTTAGGTGGGCTCTATACAACTTTCCCAGTTTTCTTTCATCCCTCTAGTGTTCTTGCCAATAAATTATTCTGGTTCTATGAAAGGTTTCTTTTTTATTTCATAATAATTTTCTCTTGTTCCAAAATGAACTAAAACTCAGTGGTTGGGTGTTTTGTTCTTTAATGTAACACTTGGTCTGCCAACAGCCTTGAAAATTTTTCAGCCTTCTCTGTTTATTTGAAAGCTGTTTCTTCCAAGAAAGCTAAGAATAATGTCGTTACCATAGTTTCCTTATCCACAACCAATAAAATGCAACTTGGAATACAATAAAACAAAGATGAGACTACTCACAAAATGTGACTGAGCGAACACTGAAATCTTCACCCTACATCACTCCTAGCACTATGGAAAACACCCAGAATAATCAATAGCCTCCTTTTGGTCCAGCAGGGAAGATGAGGATATGCCTGTCCAGCTACCAGCTATTTGAGATATTTCAATTCCAACACTTCAGATGTCTGTTGCTTTGGAATTCCCATCTCACAGATTTAGTGTTTCACTGCAGAGATTTTGTACTTTTCTGTAATCTCTTGTTCCAGGAAGCTTTGCTAAGGCTCACTGGAACCAAGTGATGGATTAATTACTGCTAGGAACCAGTTGACAAAGTAAATAATGAACTGTTTGTTCTTACAGTTTTGTTGGCTCCTGAACAGGCAAGATTCTAGGGAACAAGCCAAAAATAATCTTTTTTCTTTCAAGTCAACTGGCCAACAAAACCCTACATACGCTTCATAGATTATACAAATTACACCTGCTTTGGACACATCCATTTGCTTTCTTGATTACAAGTGAGGGGATTTTACTCTAATAAAATTAACTTTCAAGATATAAAAGAAAAGCACATGTTCTCAATAATAATGAATAAAAAAAGAAACATCCACCACATGCACAATGGTCAACCTGCTGGCAAGTTTCTTTCTTTCCTGATTTTAAAAACTTCTAAAGGGGAAAGGAAGGGAATGGGGGGGGGGGGGGGGGAGGGGAAGGGAAGGGAAGAGAAGGGGAGGGGAGAGGAGGGGAGGTACAGAGGATATTCTATTTGATGCAATCACCTGAGTGGGAGGGAATCAGAATCCTCCTCCCACAGACTGAGTGCATGCTTTGGGACTGACCCCTGTGGTGCCTGGGACTCTTATAAACACACCAGATAAACGTGGAAGAACACAACTCAAGATTTTCTGATGTTCTGCTCATGTTTTCTTGCCAGTGACAACAGCCCAAGACTGCTGAGTTTAAATTTAAAAGCTCTGCCCATGGCTTGATAACCCCTGGATGTAAGCAATAGGAAAAGAAAATAAAGCAACTCCCTTCCTTAGCCCAGGCACCCAGGGCTGTAGGTGAGGATTCTGAGCAGTGGGAGCAGGAGAACTGCAGGAAGAGCATTTGCTGTTGTTGTTTTTGAAGAAAAGCTGTTACCCTCACTGTGCAGCTTTCAGGAGCTTTTTCAGACCCCAGAAGCACCATCACTGGGTGTATCAAACACACACACTGAGAGCCACATAGTTTCAGTCATAGCTTAGCAAAAGAAAACATAATACTTCTTTCATCCCTGCCTTCTCCTCTTGGGAAGGTCATGTATAGGTAACAGAGCAGAGGAAAGAGAGAAAGAAGGTGTAGGAGTTCAAGAGATCACTTATGTGGTGAACACACTCCACTCTTTCAAGTTCACCTCACAGAAAAAGCATTCTGTGTGTAGCAGGATGCCAGTTCTAATGCACCAGATAAAAAATAGTACTTTTTCAGGAAGAACATCTTAGATCTGTTAGTGTGGTGCTCATGGCATTGCTTAAAGCAAGTAGTATGTTTTTAAACTGCTGATGTCAGCTTAATCAGGATCAGCACTATAAAAGAAAATAGCTAAAAACAATGACTAAAAAGACATGTGTTGCAGTAAGATAGAAAAATTGTAAAAGGAAGGCCTCATAACATCAGGCCTGCTCTGTTAAATGGATAGCTAGCCTGTCATTTCTTCTAAATGAAGCTACCACTTTACAAATTCCCATGTGAGAACCATCCTGGTGTGAACAGCTCCTTAACACAACAGTCTATTCCTGGGTGAAAAACAACTAGCACCTACAGAAACATTAAATCTATCCCATGAGAACCAGTGAAGAAAATATGTAAACAACTGAAGAGTGGAGAGATTTGATGAACAAGTAAAATACCTTTTACTAACCAATAAAGTAATTAGCAAGAAAGCTACTGACCAATTGGAGTCACACATGAGGTCTGTAAAACTGTATAAAAAGGAGTTATGTGAATAAAGAATGGGCTTTTCCCACCATGAAGAAAATGGAGTCTATGTGATTTATTTTGATAGACAGGTCTTTCATATCCCGAGAGTGAATATACTGGGGAACAGGAAGAAACAGCAAAGACCAAACCTGTACTGAACCTTGCACCCTTCTTACCTATGAATAAAGAAACAGGTAGACCAGGGATTTTTTCAACATTTCCCTTATGCCTTCAGTACAACACACACCAAATCTGAAGTTGTTCATTAATGTTTTTAACAAGTTCATTAATGTTTTTAACCTTCTCAGTCAAAAACACCCAAGAGGAGAGGCCCTGTGGCTCTGCATTGCCTTGGGGACAAGGCAACAGCCCCTGTTGTCCCCTGGCTGTAAACAGTGCCCACATAACATGACATTTAAAACCTCATTGCTGTGCCATGACCAGCTGGGCTGTGGTTACAGAACCAGCAGCTGGGCTGTGGTTCCAGAACCAGCAGCTGGGCTGTGGTTACAGAACCAGCAGCTGGGCTGTGGTTACAGAACCAGCAGCTGGGCTGTGGCTCCAGAACCAGCAGCTGGGCTGTGGTTACAGAACCAGGAGCTGGGCTGGGATTCCAGAACCAGGAGCTGGGCTGGGATTACAGAACCAGCAGCTGGGCTGGGGTTACAGAACCAGCAGCTGGGCTGGGATTACAGAACCAGGAGCTGGGCTGTGGCTCCAGAACCAGCAGCTGGGCTGTGGCTACAGAACCAGGAGCTGGGCTGTGGTTACAGAACCAGCAGCTGGGCTGGGATTACAGAACCAGGAGCTGGGCTGGGATTACAGAACCAGCAGCTGGGCTGTGGTTACAGAACCAGGAGCTGGGCTGTGGTTACAGAACCAGCAGCTGGGCTGTGGTTACAGAACCAGGAGCTGGGCTGTGGCTCCAGAACCAGCAGCTGGGCTGGGATTCCAGAACCAGCAGCTGGGCTGGGATTACAGAACCAGGAGCTGGGCTGTGGTTACAGAACCAGGAGCTGGGCTGTGGTTACAGAACCAGCAGCTGGGCTGTGGTTACAGAACCAGGAGCTGGGCTGGGATTACAGAACCAGGAGATGGGCTGTGGTTACAGAACCAGCAGCTGGGCTGTGGTTACAGAACCAGGAGCTGGGCTGTGGTTACAGAACCAGCAGCTGGGCTGTGGTTACAGAACCAGGAGCTGGGCTGTGGGCAGCACACACCTCGTTGATGGCCAGCTGCTCGCCGCCGCCCCCGGGGTGGCCGTAGCGGTGGTTGGAGCTGCGGAAATCCTCGTACAGATCCTCCTCGCTCCCCACATCGTCCGTCAGGGCTGTCTTGTCCAGGGCTCCATCAGTGATCACTGCAACAGCAAAATGCACACAGCACATTGTTTTTTAAAAAATCTATCAATAAAAAATATTTATCCATGTCACCTTATATATATAAGTTCCAATCTTTTTAATATAAAAACACTTCTAAAATTTCATCTACATTTAATTTTATTTCTCTTCAATTACCACAAAAAATATTTTTCCTTTGCAAAAACATGGCATAATCTATTATTCCATCAAACATTAAAAATAATCCATACAATTTGGAAGAACGTACATTATTAACTCCTAATATTAAAATAATTACCCATATAAAACACACAAAAAGAAATAATTTATGCATCAATATAAATTAAAATGTAAACATAACTTTAAACCTTAAAATTTAAAAAAAAAAAAAATCAATGTTGCTGAAGCAGCACTGAACCAGGTTGAGAGCTCACTGAGGTAAGGGGCACCATAATGCAGCACAAAGGGAAAAAAGACAAGGAAACTGGAGATTTTGGGTCAGAATTCCACCCTCATGCATGCTTGTTCTTCAGAGAATTTTTCTCCACTCATGTTTTACCCCCATAAATGACTGTGTCTTTTTCCAGATTGGAAAATATGATTTAAAATTTTTTGACAAGTGCTGCATGTTGCAAAGAAAAGACCGAGCAAGAATAGTAAAAAAAAGGTCTGAAAAAAGGCACAGGGCAATGATAGCACAAATGTGATTTTATTAGGTCCTTGCTGTGTCGACAGGAAACTGGACCAGGTAAGCAGCTCATGTCTGCCACTTCATACCTTGAGGATTATGATTTACCAAATCCTACCAGGCCAAAGGAAGTCTCAGCCTTTGGGGAAAACCTCTACCTTCTGTCCACACACTTATTTGAGAATCCTTTTTGATGCCTAAAAGGGTGTTTGCTCCAGAATTATCCATTATTACCACAGGAGGCCACTCTGCTCAGCACAGGCCCAAACAAGCTACAGATAACGAAGGTTCACAGTCTGCAGCTACAACAAACACTGAAATCTCAAGCCTGAGAGAAATAAAATTGTGGCATTTATACTCCTTGCACAGAAGAAAGTGTCACTTCATCAGTTTCATGGGCAGGATCTTTCCAAAAGTCTCCTTGAGGTATTAGCAAATACCCTTCAGTGGCATGTAGTGTCATTCATCCCACCCCTGTACTGGTTACCTTCTGTTCTCAAATCTGTGAAAAATGACAGTGATTGAACAAACCACTTGCTGACATATTCATCTGGATTAGCAACTGCTAGGGCAACAGTTTCCATGACAAAGCAGTGGGATTCACAGAGATTTGTGTGCATGAAGCAGGTACCTACACAGACATGGTGCAGAGAACAGCTGATATGAATTGTAATTTTATTAAATGACATGGCTACAGGAGTAAAACTGAATGAAAACACAGACATTACTATCAGCACTCCTGGCAACAGTCCTGGCTGTGCAAGTTACATGATGTTATCCTCCAAATTTTTGCAGAACAGGTGAAAAAAATTATTTTGATCTTGACCTTGTAGAGCTTTAATAGGGAGAAATCACAAACCTGGTCTTGAGCCCTCCTTTTCCTTCATAATGCAAGTGCATCTTATGTACCTCGTTGTGCCATTGGGTCAAAAAAAGCAAACCATGATTAATTAGCTTATTATTACCTGAAACCAAAGCTGCACCACATTAGCACTGAATAAAGTGCTGACAGACGTGGCAGCCAGACCTGCAGAGTTTGTCCTCATCAACACTTTCAGTACATGGGATGGTTTGTTAAGGCTGCACCACCTGATCTCTGCTAGTAACAGTGAGGTGCAAATTCATTGTAGCAGCCATCAGTTCAATGCAGTGACCTGACATCAAAATGACGAGTATGAGCTATTTTTAAACTAAATAGTTGCTTGTTTATGCTTTGAATTCAATAAATAGGCACAAGACAGCAAAGATTGTCTGAAGCTGGGACTGCACTTGGTATTGATGGGAATTCAGGACACAGAGGTGCAGATGAGCTTATGATTAAAGCAGAATTTTTTTAGCAAGTATGGAACTACCCAACCATTCAACTTTAAGTGACATTTCACAAAAAAAATCAAGCATTCCCCTAGCTTTGCTCTGACACCTCACATCGTTCATTATACAGAAATTCTGTACTGAATATGTGCCAGTAGCATAGATTGCATATAAAGCAATTCTGGGGTTAAGACCTAGTCCATTAATATAAAACTCAAAACCAGCTGGAATACCACTGATATTATAATTTCATGCAGAGTTACCGTGACTGGAACTTCTAAAACTGAATTCAAGGGCATTAAAGGTATCACTTTTTGCTCATACACTGTCTGAAAAACCTTTGTCTGATAATAATGAACAACTTCCAGTGAGTTAGGGTAGCACAGAAACAAATTAGAAATGTTTTTCAAGAACAAATAAAAATAAATCATTTATAAGAAGCAAATCAGCAGTCACTTGATTCAAAACTCTTCTGCAGCCCTCTGATCTCATTCTTTTCCGTTATTTTACATATGGCTTCATTGTTTCCCTTTACATATCTTCTGCTATTTTCACTGCTAAAAGTAACCTTCAACTTGAAAAATGTTTATTGGCATCTTTAAAGCTTTTGGGTTTTGCCCCCACATTTTCCTATTTGTTCTCTGATCTGTGCTTAGATGAAAAAGCAAAAGCTCCAGGGAGGTATTTATCTATGTTACTTAAAATGCTCTCTACCTCTGCTAAGTGCCTTGAAAGCTGTGCTTGCTTTTACTAGAGATCTGGTTTTCCTCTCTGATCTTACCAAGCTCATCAATTCTCTGTTGTCTCAAGACCTGCTACTGCATTTGGGATTAATTTCCCTGGAAAAAAAAAAAAAATCCTTATAGACATAGTGCACCAAAACTACACTTTACAAGCATAAGAAATTTTTCAGTCCTTGAGGAAGAATGGCCCAAGATAGCCATTGCACATCTTCCCAAACTAACGCTGCAGGGAAAAATTAAAATAATAAAAAATAAGAATTTGCTCTGAAGCAGGTTAGATGAAAGACATGACCACAAATAAATAAATAAAATAGTAGCCTGGAATGGTGACCCAATGCACTAGAAAGCCATCAAGGAAGTAGGAGAATGAAGGCTTTTAGTGTAGGAACTGACTTAATGTGCAAAGCATAAACTAGGTCAAGTAGAAAAGAAGCAAGCACTATACAAAAATCTTAGAAGACAAGTTAGAGATTGCTGAAACAGTCTATCAGCCTGCCCAGAGCACAGCGCTGGCTGGACAGCCACTATGAAACTGCACAGGGGCTAATTCAGATGCTTCATTCCTGCCATCTCCAAGTGCTCATCTCTGTCTAACACTGAAATTCAGTGGCACAGTCGTGCCTGGCCTCTCTGAAACACTGAGCTGACCCGGCCCTCCCTGGCAGTCAGGTCACACCAAGGAACAATGTTCTCTCAAAAAGTGAAGCAAACTCAAGGAGATTTCTTCATATTTATACCTCTGTCCTGATAAATTTTACTAAATATGGCAACAAATCCCACACACAGGATCAGTGTGGTACTTAGTTTATTTATTGTACTACAGCCATTATGTGCAAGAGCTAAAACTCTGTTTCACGCTGCTGTTAGTCCTAGGCCAAGCTTGTGATTTATGTCATTACAGCACAAAAGCAGATGGATAATGTTAGCAAGAGCAGCTCACAAAAGAATGCTACACAAACTCTTTTTAAATGCATCCATACAGATAAAGTGTCAAAAACCTGACGCCATGAACAATTATCTTGAGGAATGTGAGGCTTCAAAACTCATACAAAAGACGTCACTGGAACCAGTGAGTGGCACAGTGCCCCAGCAGGCAGCACTTGGGCTGTATTCAGGGACAAAAGGGAAGGGTTCTGTGCAAATCAAGGGAAGCTTGATCAAGATGGTCCATGGGAAGGGCTCACCCTGCTTACACCTCCCACAGGGTTTGGGATGCAGGTGTAAGCAGGCAGTAGTGGGAAGGGTCCTGGCTGGGCTCTGCTTGTGCCCCTACCTTGCTGAAAGATGATGCCAAGCAACTCCAAGAGGTGCTGGAACACAGTTCCAGAGCTCTCCATGTCACCAGAAAGCCTCTGGAGCTGATACCAGCTCTGTGGCTTCACAGGGAAGAGCACTCAGTGCCCAGAGGGAGAGACAAGCCACGGCTGAAGAATTTATTGCCACGCTGTCAGTGCAGCTGCATCCTGCTCAGAGGTACATTGGGGTAACTGGGAGGGAGCTGCCTGCATGCTGGGATTTTCACAGTCAAGCCCAGGGGACACTGGAGAACAAACCAGCAGGGCTGCACTGGGACAGCCTTGATCTTCACCACCAACAGGGATGGCGGGGAGAAAACAGAGAAAAGGTTCTGTGTTGTTCATCAAACTGGTGGGAAGATGCAGTTGGAATTAGATGATCTACTGGAGGTCTCAGAAAACAAATGTAAACTGCTGTCCAGAGTTCAGTTTAGACTAATGGCACCTAGTACAGGTCATGCAGTTCCACACTTCTGTGCTCTGCTCCTCTCTCTTCATACATTCCAAGTCTAGGAATTAGTGAACACAAGGTGCTGTCAAACAATCAAAAAATAAAAAGCTCAAACAAAAACCCAAACCCAAATAATGCCCAAAAAACCTACATAAACCTACCATCATTAAAAAAATAAAATTAAAGGAATATAATCCCACTCTCTCACTGGAAAACTATTCTCACAGATTAAATTTCTAGAATAGTTTCCTTGGAGGAGTTGGACACTACAGCCCCAAATTTAGCACAGCCTCTTAACAGAGCTCTCTCAAACTCACAGAGGTTTATGTCTCAGCTGGAATAAACCCCAGCAGCTCCCCAGTGGCAAGGAGCTCCAGACGTGTGTCTGGGTCACAAGCCTGAACAATGACCCAGGACTGAAGGAAAATGGTCTAGAGGCATTTTCCCAAAATGTTGGTTATCTGTTTTCACTTGACTTACAGTCTACAGCTTTTAGGGGTAAGGCTGGGACAGGAATCCATGATGATTACAG